GAGTAAATAACTGAACTGTCATTGCAAATGACGCCAAACGCATGTTTGTTATTCAAAATCTGCGATGATAAAAAATATTGAAAATTTCGATTTCCGGTGATTTTATTATTTTTAAACGAATTTTATACAAAAATGGAACATTCTACCAATATGAACCAAAAATACCTTTTTTACAAAAAAACTGAAATGTCATACTTTTCAGTTAAAAGTAAAAAAAGTTAACGTATAAAAAAGTTATGGTAAATTTTAACCTCCTTCCCTCCAGTGTTGGAACGTATGTGATGAAAATTTGTAAATTTCGTTTTAGTAGCGGACTGAGCACGTAAGAGGTTTCAGAGTTATTTAGAAAAAACCATCATCAGATTGGCCTCTTTAAGTGGCTATTACTTCCTTAGGAAGAATTTTTGGACCCACGTTTATATACAGAAAAAGTAATCTTTTTTGACATAGAACACCGTGTAGAAATATTGCCCCCTAATTTCGGGACACCCTGTATAAACTGTACAAATAAAAAACAAAAAATAATCTATACAGGGCTGGAATATCCACATGGTCCATCTGCCTTTACATGAGAGTGACAAAGTAAAGTAAAGAAATCCGTGCGATAGACAAGGATGGCTATAGTGAAGACGTTTCATAATCTGAATAGTCACCGCTCGTTTCGGGTTAGAAGTGAGAGTGACTATTCAGATTATGAAACGTCTTCAATGTAACCATCCTTGTCTACAGCACGGATTTCTATGACTTACTTTATCGCTCTCACGTAACGGCCGATGTACCATGGGGACTCCGAATCTGTATATAAAATTTACCTATACTTTTATGGTCCCGCGATGCCGCTACTTTCTGGGACAATCTAATGAGTATTCTGAAGAAAATTATTGAATGTTGTTTTTTAGAGGTACAAATTCGGCTTGCCTTTTTTTAGGATAACACTATTTGTATTTTTTTCATATCATCTTTTTTAGAGTTTGACAGAATGTTTTTTGCAGGATTACAGCTTAAAGTATTACCTACAACGTCACAAAATTTGAGGGAGCTATACTTAACAGTAAGGATGAGGGTCAAAAGAGTGTGGGCCAAAGTCCGATTTGTTAGAATGAGATTTTTATTAAATAATCCAAGTTTTTATTCGAGATGACGTTACTGAGATATGGCACACTCAATTGGCGTGACGTGTGAGTGTCTCGTAAAAAACGCCACAAACTATTTTACGAGACGTTATTCTTACTCTCTTAGTTAGACGGAAACGCTCAGTTTGTTTCCGTCTAACATTAACACCTTCTTATTTGGTACTTATAAGTTGGGATAATATTTCTGATACAAAAAGTACCACTTCAGTTCTTTCCTGGTTCATACTGTTCACACACAAAACTATCTGTACCGTTACTAAACTCTGGAATAATTAACTTAACTTACACTGCACAAAAACACTTCACAAAAGAAAAATAAGAATATAGCAGAATGAAGGGGTGAGGTATTCGGCCAATCCCGTTTCGCTGAATTAAAGTGGAAGTTTGTTTTTACCCGTTTACCATCCCTTCCTATTATACCAGGTGTGGACTCAATTGCCGGCAACGGCTTTTTAGAAGCGGTTGTATGGAATTTTAAGAGAGTAGCGGAGGCTTACCTCCGTTGCCTTTCGTAAGCGTTCGGAGCAGGATCCGATTTTTCTTAATAGTCCAGGCAAGTTAGACCAAAATCATCCAGAATACGGAGATTTTTTTCTGATGAACCGATCGAGTTGCGGTTTTTGGCATTGTCTTCGGAAAAATATCAGGAAAAAAGTATATCTATTACACTTTGGGGTGGATCGAAACTGCATTGCGGATGCATAAACTGCATCTTGGAGTGCATCTATTTTTCCGAATTTTTCAAAATTGGTAAGAATTGACTAATAGTTGTAGAAATTTGTGTGCACGGGTTTTCGGGGTCGGAGATTCCGAATCTGACCCTGAAAAATATGCCCGACGGCCTTGGGGGCCCCCTTCTGTAAAACATCGAATAGCTGAGTAATTGCCTTCTAAATCCCCACTCGGGGGTTTTTGGGGTCGGGGATTTCGATTCTGACACTGAAAAGTATGCCCGACGGCCTGGGACCCCCAGGGGGCAAGGGGGGCCTTCTGTAAAACATCGAATAGCTGAGTAATTGCCTTCTAAATTTCTACTCGGGGGTTTCGGGGTCGGGGATTCCGAATCTGACACTGGAAAATATCCATTAATCTTAGCTTGTCCATCACTGAGAAAAATTGTCGTAGAATTGGAGAAATCCTGGACAATCCGTTCCCAAGAGACACATTTCGTTAAATCAAAGAAATATTCCTTAAAACCGAAGAATATTTCATGGATCATGGATTTTCAAAAGAATCTCTTGGGCCCGTGCGACTGCGGATAATGCATAACAATTAGGCGACAAAATCCGATTATCGACAATGTAGAGATTGACAGGTATAAAGCTAGGTAAAAGCTAAGTTAATCCCCACAGTCGACGGGGTAGAGCAGCACCTCAAACGAATTGCATGGGGCGCATTTGGATGGAGAGTGGGGTTGGAGATCTATCAATGGAGAACTAACGCCGATTCCCGTGACGGAGGAGCCGGGGCCTCCAAATATAATGAGCATGGTTAAATGCAGCTGCATTGAGGCTACGGACTGTGGCAGATCTTGTGGGCGCAGGAAGCATGGAATTACATGCACAATTGCATGTACAAATTGTTTTGGAGCCAACTGTTCCAATCCTGAAATAGTCGAAAATGTAATAGATGATAGTGATGGAGACAGTGATGACAGTATTGATGATGAAAATTGTGATTGATAGTGAAAGTGTTAGATAAACATATGATAGTAGTTGTCTCACTAATTGCCTTGCAAATAAAAAGAAAATTGGTTCTCAGAATAAAGGGGGTTCTTTTCGACTCATTAATTTCCTGTTAGTTTTTCTTACCCTTCTTGTCTAATCTCTATAAATTTACGTGTGTTACAATGCAAAGATGAGCCTACAAGATCATGGATTGTAAGCAGGTGGAGCAGTATTATTGATAATAAATAACAATATAAATTATTAATAATCTGATTTCAGTGTCAGAATCGGAATCCCCGACCCCAAAAACCCCGAGTGGAAATTTAGAAGGCAACTACTCAACTATTCGATGTTTTCCAGAAGCCTCCCCTGCCCCTCTGGGGGCATCGGGCATATATTTCAGGGTCAGATTCGGAATCTCCGACCCCGAAAACCCGTGCACACAAATTTCTACAACTTTTAGTCAATTCTTACCATTTTTAAAAAATTCGGAAAAATAGATGCACTCCAAGATGCAGTTTATGCATTCGCAATGCAGTTTCGATCCAGCCCTAAAGTGTAATAGATAGACTTTTTTCCTAATATTTTTCCGAAAACAATGCCGAAAACTGCAACTCAATCGGTTCATCAGAAATAATTTTCTGATTTATTGTCTAACTTGCCTGGTCTATAAATTTAATCTGTTCACGATTGTTGTTGTTGTTGTTGCTTATTTGTTCACTTTCGATTAATAATAATGTTTAGCACCAATTGGCTGCCGAAATGGTTGAACATGAACAAAAAATAAAAATATACCGTATTTTGTTTAGAATTTTATCTTTTTAATATTACTTGTTTTAACTTGCCTAAATATGTCCCTATCTACTGTACGTAGTGACAGTAGTATAGTTCAACCACGTTCAACTAAACTAGGTAAATATCAAGAGGTCATTAACACTGCGATTCATTAATTAAATACATACATTGCTTAGAAAAAATAGTGGGTAACACATAATTGTTTATAAAATCTTGAAAACCATTTAAAAAAAGTATTTGATATTAACCAGATTATTTTATTATTTTTTTATGTACCTACATTTTTTAAATGGCACATAAAAAATAAACTTGAGTGCGAAGACGCCGGTAGTGCTACTCATTTTGATGTAAATGATCCATAAAACACTCTCTTAGTCAAAGTTTACCCATCTTCGATCGCTAGGATGGTGACGGTGAAAACTATGTGCACCAATGATATTCCTCTACGAATAGAGCAGCTTTCGTCTAAAACATCTGACAAGCAGTTTGCTGCAGGTCGCACTTAAATTTTGACTACGGTATCGTTTTTAGCTGGTGAAAATACGTCGAAAATGATACGTCAGATCTTTGAGTTTGGGTTTTTTTGTGTGCCTGATACATACTCTATTAATTATAATGGCCAACCTTAAATATCAGCAGCCAAACTTTGACTAAGAGTGTGTTTTATCGATTTATTGGCATCAAAATGAGTAGCACTACCGGAGTTTACATCTTCGGATTCGAGTTTTTTTGTGTGTTTTTTTAAAACAAATGAGTTCTATTTGTCAATATCAATGTTATTATAATTAGTATTTAACAAATCATGTAAAAAAATATATATTTTTTAAAAAACAACATAACCTTTTTTTAATGTTCAACCTTTCGTACACATTGACATAGAACAAAATATGGTGACTTTAAAATGACATATCTCTAAGCCGTACAAAAGCAATCTGTTTTACTAAGTACTAACAACTAAAAACTGGCAACACTGATAGTACACTGATATAACTTACTACGCTAATTCCAGTTTGCGCTACCCGACTAATTATAACTCGAATATTTATTTGATTAAAAAAAGATAATTTCAGATTAAGGGGAACACGTACTGTTACCCCTAAAAGACTAACCCCCACTTCAACCACACCATGTGTAGTTAAATACAGTAACACAGAGAAATATTTTGCATAATAAGTACTTAGGGTACCTAATGCATGTTTTACATTTCCAATACAAGATTTAATCATCACTGAGTCATCAGACCAATTTTCGTTTCTCAGCTTTGAACAATACTTCATTGTCTTTCGTATTACCAGCCAGCTCACGTCCAAACTTTTAGACACATTATGCGATCATGATCCACGGCTTTGCATGTAGAAGGGTACTTACATACGGGTTGCATTTTTAATGTAATTAATCAAATAAACAGGGGTGGGGGTAATATTTTTAGTTAAATCACGGACGTGCTTTGTGTTACGCATGTATGATGATTTTTTAGTGGAAGGTCACTTGCTACACCAGCCATTGCCTGATTTTTATTCCGCGTTGTCGTTATTAATTTACCGGTACCGGTGGAAGCAATCATGTTTCGCGAGGTGGAATTTTTAAAATACGTGCTCTGGTTGTCGCTCCTGGTGAATGGGGCTGTGAATAGTGACGGTAAGTAGAGCAGAGAAAGTAATTGATGGCGTTAGAACCTATAGTTGCGCTAATTTATGATAATTTGATAATTGCAGGATATAAATTTCTTTTATAGCGTTAATTATTCCTACTGCCAAATTAGTTTTTGATGAAATTATTGTTTTGAACAATTATATGAGTATTTTATCCATACACTTATTAATTAACCAATAAATAATTATAGAAACGATCTACTTGACATTTTATTTTTTTATGTAATTTGTATATTACCTACAAATTTTGTAGAGCTATAAGGTACAATATTACCTTCTGTTTTTTAGTTAGGGCAAGACTAGGATGATCGGCCATAGTTTTTTGAGACGCACGTATTTTTTAAAAGTAAGATATGTCTAGTCTAGCCGGCTCTCTTATCCAAGTGTATGTAAAATTTTCAAACCTTGTGAGGTAAGAATATCATAGCACGGAAAGTCAACAAGGTAATAATTTTAAAGAGAATATCGTGCTATTTACTTTATTTACGTTTTTTATCATCATTTGTGTTCAATCGTAGTTTTAAAATTTTTCTCAGGTTTCCAAAATCACGAGTGGTTGAACCACTGATATTCCATTATTTTTCATTTCTGCCATAACATTTTCAGTTGATGCCCAGTCTAGTTATCTTTTTTTTGTAATATTCTTTTTTATTTAAACTTACACATTGCGATATTTTTTCTTTACCTAAATAAATTAAACAAATCCTTGCGTTAAAGGGATCAATAAAGGGTTACTTTTAGAGACTATATTTGCCTGGTCAAAAATCAAACATTGAAAAAAGCAGACAAATAAAAAATAAAAAATACCAAATTACTAAATCACGAAACTGAAGAGCGTTAACGCTTCTAAAAACAATCTGTCCGTAAGCTATTGTTTCTGAAGAATTGCTGTTTCTAAAGTGAATTTAGTTGATAGTCCTTTATTATTAATAACATCTAGAACAATATTTAATTCCTCAATGATAAAAGGTCAAATTGCAAAAATATTGTTTACATATTCATTAAATAGTAAGTTTTTTATTTAAATTGTTAATATAGCTTGCCTAAAAAAACCATAAAAAATATTACTTAAAATTGGTGATAATGACGACTCCATAACCATTTTGAAATTTTATTGATAAAATTCATTATTTAACTAAAAATATAGTTTTTAAATATAAACTGTAATTCCATTATTTGTACTTAAGTTGGGTCTATCTATTACCTACATTGTTATTATTTTCTTATTCATTTTTGACAATATTTAATTTTGGCTTAAGCGATTATATAATTAATCTTTGATTTATTTGACATCAGGAAAAATACCTAAATTAACAGAAAAAAATGCTACGAATAAATAATTTTAGACAAATCTATATACGTATTAAGATATTGTGGTCATCTCGCCTAGGAAAAATAGAGAATCTTTCTTTATCGACGATGTTAGATGGTCACAGTTGTATTTCAATATCAGTATTTGTGGCATAGTCTTCGTTTTTTTCTTTATTTTTTGGGTATTTTGCCACCTGTGAAAAATTTAAAAAAAGTAGTCAAATAAACTCTTGCGCCAAATATTATTTTTATGAAATTAATTTTGCTAACCAAAAAAATCTGACACTGATATTTCAGTTCAAAGAGGTCGTCAACGTTGGAAAATCCACTGTTTTCGTCTTCTGATTTTTTTTTACTTTTTATTAGTTTTGACAGTTTAAAGTTTGCTTTTGTCTGTTTCCATAGCAAGAGATATCATATGATGTTTATTCTATCTTTATTCTATTACTTCATCTTTTAGGTTTTGTAGTCAGTAAGGATCCAAGTTTATAGAATAATTTGACACATATCTTTCATCATTTAACAAAATAATCGCGGACTCTTTTAATTTTCTTTGAACAATATTATCTTTTTTTTCCAAAATTTTATCATGGCTATTTTATTAAGCCCAACGTTTAACTGCTTGCATTTAATGAAAATATGTACACAAGAAAATGGTTCGTTCTCCAGAAGTAGTAAAAGCTAATCAAATTTTAGTGTTTTAAATTAAATTTTATCTCATTAATCTCATTATTTGCTTAAAAAAAATGTTTCCCAAAAATAGTAGGAATGTTTGCCGAATTTTATATCGTAATATTGATGTGATAACCAGGTATTGATTGACTTCCCATCATTTTCTTACATTATTTGATAATAAAAAAGTGTTTGTCGTTCAAAAATAAAATGTTCAACAAATTTTAGACGACGTCTACTTTTTGAATAATAACCAGATATTTGTTTTTCTTGTGAAGGCCTTTGTGGGCCGGATTTGTTATGTTAGGTATAAATAATTTAGCATAATAATATTATTTTTATTGAACATTCGGTATAAGCAAAATGTTTAAAATACAGGCATTATTAAAACAATTAGAAGCGTAGTTATTTTAGTGACGCAAACATTTTTCGATAATCATTTAGTTTCATAAGTATTTTTGATATTCATTTTTATTTTGAACTATAGCGCTCCCTAGAATTGCTCAGAGTTTAATTTGGCCATTTGATTTGTTCCTTTTTATTAATTTTCTATTGCATTTATGAAAATAAAGAAATAGTGACGTTTGGGTAAACTCTAATGTTGCCAGAACTGATGTATTAAAGTCATTTCCTTTTTAATTATTTAAAAGAAGTCACTTGATAATTTTGTTTATTTCAATGAGTTCTTCACTATTAAAAAAAATATATCAACTTAAGTCACGTTTTGTCGTTGGTATAAAATTACGCATAGTTTTATTAATTTTTTTTTATGGAACATAACAGATTATTTGAAGTACGATCTTTCAATACCTTTGATATGTTAAAATTTACAAAACTAGGCATTAATTTTGTTAAGTACTTGAATCATAATTTAAATTACTTCGGTATGTTGATTCGATTAGAAAATGGCTTAGCAAATACAGTTGATTTTATTCCTGAAATATTATTGTCAAATAACATTGAAGACGATGGCATTGTCAATTTTTTCTAGAAATTTTTATTTTTTATGTGGGATTTTTACCGTGTCTTGGTCAATCTAGAGACCTTAAAATCTTCATTTTAGTATAGCAGAAGCTCCCAATTAAATAAGAACAGTTATAAAGATAACACTCACTATTTATAGGTATCAGATTCCGACAATAATGTTCGATGAAAATAATTTGATGACGACATTGAACTTTGAAATCATTTTGATCAAACTGATTTGGTTAATTAGTTTAAAATTTATAAAAATTACGAATAATATTTTATTTTCTACCATCTGTACCCATTTAATTATTGTAAAACATAGAAGTATTAACAAAAAGAATTTGGTTAGTTTGACATTTTTATCAAACTCGTTTTGTTGTTAAAATGACAAACTACTTTGATCAAAAAAATTTGATTACAAAAAAATTTATATGCACGCTTATTTACAAGTATCAACTATAGATGTGTGTTATAAAGTTATGATCACCATATTTCAGTATTCAGATGAAATGGAGATAACATATTTATTTTAAATCGGACTAAAGTTATTTATATATTTTTTTNTTATTATCTACCATCTGTACCCATTTAATTATTGTAAAACATAGAAGTATTAACAAAAAAAATTGGTTAGTTTGACATTTTTATCAAACTCGTTTTGTTGTTAAAATGACAAACTACTTTGATCAAAAAAATTTGATTACAAAAAAATTTATATGAACGCTTATTTGCAAGTATCAACTATACATGTATATTATAAAGTTATGATCACCATATTTTAGTATTCAGATGAAATGGAGATAACATATTTATTTTAAATCGGACTAAAGTTATTTATATATTTTTTTACGTACCTACAAATGTATGTATAAGTCTTCATGTACACATTTATTATTGCCCTTGATACAAATTCAAGGAAAAATTTTGCATATTGTAGTTGTTTCTCTTAATGTCGAAAATTACAACAAAGCAATTAATTAATTTACCTTGAAGTTGCTATATAACAAGTATTCCATTTTTTATATCCATTGTATGTAGTAGTTATATAACTTGAACATACATCTTTTTTTTAAAGGGTCACTTGTTACATGTTACATTTATAGTTTCAAAAACATTAATAACAATTAAAGAAATAGTAACTTTCTCTTTTTTGTTTGACTGATGATTAAAATTAGTTTATAAAAAATAATATAAGAGAACTAGAGATTATGGTCAATTTTAGCAAAATTTGCACCAATACAAGTTTAATTGAAAAATGCATGAGTGGAAGCAATTAAAATTGTTTTTGAGTACATCTTTTTCCAAAATTATAAATAATGTTTAAATATTTCTTGTATGTATGTCAGTGCCAATGAAAAACCGATTGACATCAAGATGAATTGCAAATTTAGAAACAGTCAAATTAATTTCATTTATACTTTTGACTAATTCTGAAATATATTTGATACTTTCTGAAATATATAACTTATTCTCAAAGACATATTTATATGTAGAGGATGTATGGATGTCCAAAAAATCAAAATATTGTAGTATTGAGAAAAAATAGGATCTCTTATAAGATGTTATAATATAAAGAGAAGCAGCATATATTATAAGTTTATAAATTTTCTTAAATATTTGTTGTAGATCTACTTTAGTGTGACTCTTTTTCTGTCGAAATAATTTAAATTTTTCTCCTAATCGAAAAGTGAATCAAATTAAGTGTTAAAATAGAAGGAAGCAGGTTTCTTAAAATAAATTTGTTAATTATTCAATTTTAAAAATAAATTAATAATTATAATAATCCTATATGAAATAATAATTATATTCTTACGCATAGGCAATAATTTTGAACAGTCATTCATCAGTATCGAATGCTTTTGTTGTCAATAAAAATGTTAATCAAAATGTAAAATTATTAAAGAAATAACTATTTGTATCTCCAAATATGTATTTATTTAATTTAATATAATTTAATTCATCCAACTGGAAGGAAACCTAATTACATGATGAACAAATACCTAATTATAAAAGTATATATTAGCTTAGCAATAA